GGGGCCCAGCGCTCTAGGATGGGCAGACGTGACTCCTCAGGCTGTACTACGGATTCCAAGAGGCTCCAGAAATTATTTTCAGGGCAGGGGAAATGACTTTAAAGGAAAACAAAAAAGAAACAATACTACATAGCACTTCCTAGCTACAAACATAGTCGAATATAAGTCTAGGAAAGCACATGCCTAACATCCCTACCTTCTAACTGTGGCTGCTCACTGACAAGACCATGGCCACTGGACTTAAGGCCTGGTTAGCGGAGACTTACTGATTCATCTATCCACAGGCACCACACCCCAACCTCTCTATCTGCACTCCTTCAGAAAGGTGGTCTTTCTGCCCTTGCAAGGTAATTCCCGTCTCTTAGGTTCCTCTGACACAGGCACCCCGATCTTCCTCAGGCGCAAACATTGATGAAGTGACGAGTTTCAGCTCCTTTGTTCTCTGCCCACAAAAATACCTAAATAAGTTACTAACAATCAGAGACACAAGGGGCCAGAAGAGGTGGGGGTTTGTTTTCATTGCCAGCCCCAGAAATGTGGCCCATTGTGTTTTTTACCAAGTTCTTCCTTTAGCTCACCAGGGACCTGGGGGCGGGACTGCCAGCAGCTGCTCCCTGCGCTCCCCTTCCAGGCTGGTGCCTCCCTGTTCGCCCACACCTGGGTACTCCACGTCTCTACACTTTGTGTGTGCTCGTCTCTCTACGAAGAAGGCCAATTCTCTTCTTTTTCTGGATAACTTCGACTAATTCACCAGACTCAGCAGAGGCTCTCCCTCCCTGCAGGAGGCCGTCCCTGATCCTCCCCACTCCAGCCCCATCTATGCCAGGCATGTGCCTTCAGGGAGCCACAGCACCCTCTAAGGAGAGCAACACCAAATCAGTGATAACCGATCGTTTCCTTCAACCAGAGGTAAATGTCGGCAGAATGCCTGCCAGGCATGATATTACAGCAGAGCTCCCCACTGGACCAATGACTCCCACTGGGTCCCCAGCACCGACATATCCGAGGTACCACAACTGGCGACTGCTGAGCTGAACTGGGGATGCAATGGGATGAAAGCCAATGGGGAAATGTGCCTCAAATACTTATTAACCCCTGGTATGGGAGGCCTGGCTGCTAGGATTATTCCTAGATCCTCTGTGACTTCTCTGACCATGTCACACACTAACCTTCCCAGTGAACCTTCTGCTCTGACCAGGTCTGGCCTACTGCACTCCTGCAAATGCCAGTGGCTCTTCTATCTCTGAGCCACTTGGTCTGCTGCTCCCCCAGGCTGAAATGCCTTCCCTATGCCATTCTTTTCTTTGTGCGTCCAAATCCCCAGTTATTTAAAAAAGGAGAACATTTTAAAAGGTGTTACCTGTTCTTAAAAACAAACAAACAACAACAACAACAAAAAACAGTCCCGGCCGGGCGCGGTGGCTCACGCCTGTAATCCTAGCACTTTGGGAGGCCGAGGCGGGCAGATCACAAGGTCAGGAGATCGAGACCATCCTGGCTAACATGATGAAATCCCGTCTCTACTAAAAATACAAAAAAATTAGCCAGGCGTGGTGGCAGCTGCCTGTAGTCCCAGCTACTTGGAAGGCTGAGGCAGGAGAATGGCGTGAACCCGGGAGGTGGAGCTTGCAGTGAACCAAGATTGTGCCATGCGCTTCAGCCTGGGCAACAGAGCAAGACTCTGTCTCAAAAAAAAAAAAAAAAACAGTCCCACATCCTCCCTGAAGCTTTCCTAAAAACTATGGCTCACACTGTTCTCTCCCAACTGAACTGCAAAATAAAGTATTAACATACGCAATATCATCTTGTTTTAGGCATCAATTGTCTTAATATAGTACAGTAGAAAGAAAACTAGTGGCCAAGCACAGTGCCTCACGCCTGTAATCCTAGCACTTTAGGAGGCCGAGGCGGGCAGGCCATCTGAGGTCAGGAGTTCGAGACAAGCATGGCCAACATGGTGAAACCCTGTCTCTACTAAAAACACCAAAAATTAGCCAGGCGTGGTGGTGGGTGCCTGTAATGTAACCTCTGCCTTCTCCTGTCGCAGGTTGCAGTGAGCCGAGATCACGCCATTGCACTCCAGCCTGGGCAACTCGGTCTCAAAAAAAAAAAAGAGCACTAGGCTTCGGCCCAGAAAATCTGATTTCTATTCCTGGTTCCCGACGAAATGATTCTGGGCAGGCTGTTTCTCTGAACCTCGGTGTCTCCTCTGTGGAAAGGGGAAATTATTGCCCTGCTCACCTCACAGAGCTTATTTTCAGACTCCAGTGAGACAAAGTTGTTGAAGTCTTCATAGCATATAGAGTTTGTTTTCAGACTCCAATGAGACAAGATGTGAAAGAACTCATACATTTGAAAGTCTTTTACAAACGTAACGAAGGGATATTATGACCTAATAATATTCTTGTGGTAAGTCTTTGAAGGCAGGAACCATACCTCAATTCTCATTTATTGCCCCACACCTCCCACCAATCCCTCCCCACCTAACAGAGGGCTTATGCATGGAAGGGCTACATTCAATATCCATGGACTTTAGAACTTGAATGTGTCTGTTAATGTTATGATCTGGAATATCTCCATTACAAGCTTCTTTCCATTGGGCTTAAACAAAACATACTTTTATCTTTTTCCCCCCAGAAAAAAAATCCAGTAGTCTTTTATGTAATGGCTGTCTACTGTGAACCCCTTCGGGATATTAAAATCATGACCTTCAACATGGCTGGAACATCTTGTATTTGGCCCCAACTCTATGAGAGCCAGCACATCCCTGATCCTTCTCTTCATTTTGGGCTTCCCATTTAATTCCTTCCCAAGGTCTTTATACACAAGTCCGTATGAGGCCTCTAAATACATCCTAAATTCTGTAAGACCTCTGCAAATAAGATCTTACTCTCTGAAAACACCTGTATAATCATTCTCCTATGTAAGGAGGGAGCCTCTATATTTTTAGTTTTCTTCCCATACAGCAAACACTATTAATACCATCATACTTTCTCCAGAGATGATATGGATTAGACCAAATGGAAAGTTACCATGGCTACCGCAGTGTTATTTTTGGTATGAGAAATTCATGCCAAGAGAAGCAGTATACATGGTCAAGAACTGGAGCTTTATTTCCTCTTTGCTATCAGGCAATCAATCCCAATTTAATTTTGAAACTCTAATTGCAACGGAAACTAATTATGAGCAGCAAGATCTGAAACCCCTAATTAAAGTGGGAGTCAATAAAGCGACTCGGCATTATCAATTGGGGCACCACTGGCAGGATGGGGGATGAGGTACAAGCAGATTTCTTTCCCAAGTAACTAGCTAAGCAAAACAAAACAGGGAGACTGATCTTGAGGGTGCAGTTGGGGAACCCTAAGTTGGGACCAAGGGCTGCAGTTTCCAGTGAGTGAGCAGGTCAGGCCTTCTCTCTGTGCTATGAAGACTTCGACAAACTGGGAATAGAGTAGGAAGTCCAGGTGGAAAGAAGGGTGTTTCTACCAATAGTCAACCACTAACAGTGCCCACGGTGGAGAGGTAGAGAGTGGACAAGCTGAAGGACAGCTGGATCTGACTACCCCATATATTAAGTGGCCTTTTCTATAGATTATGCAGCCTGGGGGCCGTAAGTGCAGAAAAACAGGTACCCAAACAGAAACTCATCCCTCAGACCCAGATATTTTAGGCTGACTCCCTCATACACTCAATGCTGAGTTGCACTTTACTGAATTAGCAGAAGTTGGCTTGTGGAAGGACTTCTATTAGCGTGAAACCCACTGCCAATCCCTGAAGTGCACCATACCCTTTGGGACCTCCCAGTCTATCTTGGAAGCTTTAAAATACTGTTAATGGCATGACTTCATCTGCCCCACACTTGAACGATCCATATTTAGGCCAGAAACCACATGGACCTCGCATCACTCCACTGGGCTCCAGGAGAGAAAGGGGCTCAAGTCGGGAAGGGAATGCTTCTAACCAATGATTAATTACTCATCCTCTGTCAAATTTATTGACAAAGGGACAAAAATGAACACTCCTACCAGGGAGCAAAATCAGTGGAAGCTCACCCTTTTCCCACTCTGTATATTTTTATACAGAAAGGTTTTCTCCCACTAACAGGTAGTTTTCCTGATTTTTTAAAAAGCGTATTGAGAAGAAAGAAGCAGAACATCATAACCCTGTTGCAGCCTTTTCAAAGGTAATGAATAAGCCAGTCCCACAGGAGAGGGAGCTCTGCTTCAGGGTGGGAAGCATTCCTTAAGAGCTTTCAGAGTCCAATTTCCCAGGAATAAACGAGGTCCGCAGTCAGGCTGGGGCCGAGAGGCTTTTTCCAAGGCAGACAAACCCCAAGATCCACGAAAGCCTATATTAATCTTAATTCCTAGTGCGTCACAGGCAGGCAACATAGAACACAGGCCTCATCTTGAATTAGCCAAAGGAGGTTCTCTGAATAAAGATAGTGTATTGACATATTACACAAAGCTCTTGGCACTGGTGTCTTATAACAAATGTTAAAATGTGAGCAGTAAAGACAACAGTTCTGAACCCTGAGATGTTTTGAAACCTGGCTGCAATTTGAAAGGAAATATTGTGTGGCTTCTGTACATTATGTATATTATTGATATGTAATGGACCAGCAGGATACACAGAGAAAAGGGCTCAGCCACCGTGCGTTCATTAGAAATGAAGGAAGAGAAGCAAAGAGAGAAAGAAGAAAAATTGCTCTGTCTTACTGAGTTACTTTAGTATAAAGTTTCAGCCTATGGAGAACTGAAAGTGTCCTGAAAAACAGCTTCAGCCCAAAACAGACAAGAAGCGCCGATCTGTGCCACTGGGCTCTGCTTCCAGGGAAGGTACACCACTAGGGGCTCTTGAAGACCCATCAGTCAAAGAAAGCACCTCTGTTTTTATAATCAGCAAGCTGCAAACTTTTACCTATTGCCCTTTAGGAAACTAATGCTTTCAGGGTCCCCCAAAAGACTGACAGATGTACTTTATTTCCAAACCAAACCTACCTTGACTCCAATGAAAGACTTGCGGTGATAAAAGCAGCACAGAGCTGCTGAGAAGGCGTGGAAAGCACTGCATTCCTTAGGCATCTTTCGGTCTTCAGTCCCGGGGACCACACACTTTCTTCAGGGTTAAAAGAAAGGGGGCTTCGGATGTTAAAGCCCTAGCCCACCACAGCAGCTGTGCTGCTTCTGCCCAGAAGTCAGGGAAGTCGGCAGCCGGGAGAGTGAGTCGGCTCCTTCTCCCAGGCTAGTCTGGGACTTTTCCCCTCTGCTGAAGCCAATACGATCCACTCGCTCAATTCTCGCAGGCTGGTGTCCAGCCTGCCATGCACACAGTGCCAGAAATTCTCATGTGACCAGACTTGCTTTCTGATGAAATTCTAACCCCTCTTAGAAGAGGCCTTGGGCTTTAGCTGTCCCCTCAATTTAGAGACCAGGCAGAAATCATTAGCAGCCCCTCTCCCCCAACCCAGGATTTCCTTCTGGGACTGAACTGTACCATGCCACCTGCTCCTAGTGGTTCTATTTGCTTGTCACTCTAGCAACCAGAGGTTTAAGGAAGCAGGGCAAGTTGTACATTCACACTACCTTGTTATGTACAGAGGCTCCTTTGAAGAAACGAGGTGGCCTAAAAGTGACTTTCCCTAGGAGCAATCTTAGATGTCCTAAGTAACCCAGACAGGATCCCTGTCCTCACTCTCCCAAGCCCACCTCCAGAGCTGTTTATTTTTAATTAAGATGCTCCTGGCAGCCAGTTTGCAGCTGATAACGTTGGCATAGTCATCACTACTGGCAAAGCAATATTGCCTTTTGGTGTTTAATTAGCAAGTCTGTCAGCAAACACCCTAAGCGCCCTATGCCCTCCCACCTGGCTGTGCAGCCTGTTGGGAGGATGGGGCCCATGTACCCACTTCTGACTCAACTGTTTGTCCTACACTCTCCTTTAAATCCTTCACTTTAATTACTCATCGCCACTCTGATTACCCACTTTGCGTAACCTAGATCCTGCACACAAACCTCGTATCCAACGCAGCCAAGCAAGGCCCTCCTGGATTCCCTGCAATCTGAGGCCTCTACCCCTACCAAGAGCCGCATAACACCTTCAGGGAAAACTAACTGCTTTTCCTCTTTCATACCAGTTACAGCGGATACTCAACGAGTCTTTTTTTTTTTTTTTTTTTTTTAATCAAATCCAGGTTTCTGCCTGTAGCTCTTCCTCTCTTATCCTACTGCTCCATATATTAACTTTTTGTGGCTTCAGTCTCAAATATGGAATGTGTCCTGAAGCTTTCTAAAACTTCACACAGGCAGAAACTTGTAATGAGGAAGAAACAGGACCTATTCAGTCCAGAAAGGAACAATACCAAATGAGGCATGAGGGAGGTATGAGAAATATCCAACGGGATTAGCGTCAAATCCTCAGAAGACCTTGGACTAGGTCCTTTGGACTAGGTCAAGTCTGCCTACAAAAATAGGGAATTGTTCTGGGCCCAGTGAGCAGGTACGGAGATCCACAGTCTCGCACCCATGCAAGGACAAGGGCCCGGTCTAATCAACGTGTCAACATGGGGATGGAGAAGCTAAGTGAGGCTCTATTGCCACAGGCGATGACTTCCTTTCTGCTTTCCTCCCTCACTCCTTCTCCTCTCTGACTCTGGAGGTCTGGTGTACAGTCCTGAGGACTCCTGGGCCACAGAAAGTCCACCAGAGAACCTAGAAGGCAGCACCAAGGTGGCAGAACTCAGACGGGTTTTCTGAGCTGGAAGAGCCCTTGAAGACTGTCTGGTCAGTGGGACCCTACTGTCCTCCAAGGTCCAGTACTGCATCTGCGAGGAAGCGTTTTCTGGCTTGCCCTCATTTCCATTAGATGGGGTTCAAAGGGTAAGTCCGTGTGAGCAGCCAGGCCCAGGCCCCAGCAGTTCTGTGGGCATGACTCATCAATCAGGCCATTAGCCACCACAAAAGGGGCCATTTTCACCTGGTATTCTCCTTGGAGAGCAAATAACAATTCCTCCAAGCTAAAAACCTCCCCAAGAGGCTAGACAGGCACCATCCCAGGCCTGGGAAAAGGGAGGGGAGCAGTGCCTGAAATCCTGCACAGAAATTCGTGAGATTAGTCAGCCAAGAGATTCTGAAGCCCAGACACCCTTCCCCCAGAAATCGTGAATGAAATGCATTCCTGAAAGTAATATGCAAATAACTCAGACATGTAAATCACATAGAATTACGAATAAAGTGCTCCAGAGCCAGGGTAAAAACAAAACCAAAGACACTCAGGTCACTGTGGAATCACAGCTCTTGTTACCTGAGGATTTCTCTGTTTATTCTAAGAAATATCTCCAAAATACTCAAAGAATTTGTTCCACCAGGATTAAATCATGACTAATCTTATTAGGTAACTGTTTCCTAAGCATCTTTTATTTTTATTTCACACCAAAAACAATTTCTGAAGCAGCACTCAAAGGTTTTCATCAATTTTCTCCCGAAACGGTCAAGGAGAGAGACTAACATAATGTGTTGTTTTTGTAACTAAAGATGATAATTGCAGGCATTCTCAAAGTGCCCTTCACTGACTTGTTAAACTTTAAAACGTTGCCTATTTACGCCGATCAATTCCTCCCATTCTCCCCACAATGATTACTCTATTCCAGTTACAAGGAAATACAGGACCAGACCCGTGTACCACTCAGCAGAGAACAAAGGGCTAGGGACTCCAACCTCAGACTGCAGAACTTGGTATCTGATCACACAGAAACACAAATAGATTTTTTAAATGTTTTATAATTAAACCTGTTACTCACACAGCCCCGTTAAGGGGCTGTGACCTGGGGCGGTGGGCCACTTTCTGATGATCTGGTACATGGGATTTGGGACTCATCAAATTTGGATGCAGGGCTTTCTACACACCATGACCCTTTAGGGATAGGGGAGGGCATTTCTAAGGAATTCCCAGGGACTGAGGAAGGGAGGGACCCAGTCAGGCAGCTCTGAGCTCTGGAAAAGGTCCCACAGGGTGAACTCCACCGCCCCTCTCTGGCTGCCTGGAAGGCTCGCTCCTTTGCACCAAGGGAACACCTGTGATTAAAGCCATGGCTGGGAAGCCAGGTGGGTCCTTGAAGGAAACCTCCATTACCTCAGGTCAAATGTTGCCCACCCCCCAATTTAAAAAGAGGGTTAACGCAGGCCAGAGGAAGACCCCTGCAGAAGCACTGCCCTCAATGCCAGTTTTTCCTTGGGCAGCCCTAATACTAACCTGCCCTATTTAGTAACCATGGAAACAGGAGCTGCCTGCCAGCCACATCAGCAGACACATGCTTCCTGTTGGCAGCAGCCCCTCAGCTGACAAGGGCCAAGAGAGTGAGTGCAGAGTCCTTTTCCCAAAGCGCCACGGCCCCCGCTAGAAGATCAGGCTCCCAGTGAGGTAGGCCCTCTCTCCAACAGGGCATGGAGGGAGACAGCGCGAGAAAGATATGCCTGCCAGGTACCTGCTTTTCACTGTTTCAGCACATCTGGAACACAATACTGCCCATAGCCCCAAACCCTCCCCAAAGCAGCCCAGAATCAGGGCATCAAGCCTTACACGGAGGCACTCTTGGGCTCTGTCAAGCAGCCCCATGGACAGTGACTCTGCCCATGGCTAGAGGACAGTAACTCACCCCAGGCTTCAAGGCCTGGCTCGTTCCTGCCCAAAGTGACATCATTCGGGGTGACCACCAGTCATCACGATCAGAACAGCTCAAAACATCTTGTGGCAACTACTATGACCCTTTATCCTACTCCCTCTCCCCTAAAGATCAATGCTTTCTGGCTTTTTGCTTCCCCTAAACCCCAGTGATCTGGCTCCCGGTGAAAAAAGACAGCTTTAATGAGCTAGGGCCTGAGGCTGATGGAACCAGCTCCATCTTTCCTGGTGCCCTGGGAAGCAGGCAATGATTAGAATGGACCTTGCCCCACTCAGCACCAGCCTGGTGTCACGGTGAGGATACCCTCGGCAGACTCGGCTCCGTGGAGAGCAGTGTGGCAGATGCCTGGGAAGCCCTAGGCAGATAAGGAGGCAAGTTGATCCACAGCCCTGCTTCTCAAGACTTCCCCAGCACCCACCATGTCTCTGCCTGATTCTGAACAAATAAGCCAGGGGCTCACACACCTTCCCACAGAGTCAGAGGGCCTGAGGGAGAAGAGCTGAGAAACCGGGGAGGACAGGAGGAGAGGACTTTGCGCAAGAGGTCAGCTCCTCTTCCAGCCAGGCTCAGTCGCTACGGAAGCTGCCAAAGACAGTTCTACACATTTCCCTATATGCAAATCTGATTGATTTCTTGTTCCAAAAGGGAATGCAAATGACACTCAGCGGGGAGGAGGGCAGGCAACAATGCCTGCGCCCTCTGGCCCCCTTTGTGTATTGCTGTGGACAAGATGTTCACCTGCCCTGGTGAACACAGAGGGTGCATTCAGGAGTGTTTGCTGTACATATCCTGGTCTAACAGTTTCCCCAGATTCCTCAAGGGGATGAAAGAGTATGGCTGTCAAATGGTCTCTATCCGGAAGCAGTATTGATCTGCCTAGCACACAAACAAAGAGACTAAGTACAGTCTACACAGATTTCTCTCTGCTGGGCCTTCTGTCTTCCCTTACCAATCTCTGTTTCTCTAACTAGCTATTAAAATTGTATAACTGAGTAATGTGAAGCAAAATTAGGCACTGTGCCCTGTTTTGCTTTCTTAACTATCACACACAACTCTGCCCCATTCACCTCTCTACCACTACCACCTAGTTCCTGGTGTCACCCCAGAAATCTTATGCAAGCTCAATTTTCTGTTTTTAGCATTAAGGCAAAAATAAATAAAAGCAAAAGAAAAAAAGAACACATACAGGACATAATCCCAAGCTCTCAAATGGCAGACTCATTATCTGATGATCTTGGCCTTCTTTGAGATTCTATGAAAGTCATGGGCCCTCCTTCTAGAGCAAAAGACACATACTTGCAATGCTTTACAATTAGAACTTGTCCAACCCGCCTTACTATGTTGTTGTTCATTTTGTTCTGTTTTAGGCATTTAGCAGCCTGAAACCATGGGTGTTTTTTGTTGTTGTTGTTTTTAATTTTTTTTGAAACGGAATCTTGCTCTGTCACCCGGCTGGAGTGCAGTGGTGCAATCTCGGCTCACTGCAACCTCCACCTCCCAGGTTCAAGCAATTCTCCTGCCTCAGCCTCCCGAGTAGCTGGGACTACAGGCGCACGCCACCACGTCAATTTTTTTGTTTTAATTGTATTTTAGTAGAGACAGGGTTTCACCATGTTGGCCAGGATGGTCTCAATCTCCTGACCTCGTGATCCACCCACCTCAGCCTCCCAAAGTGCTGGGATTATAGGCGTGAGCCACTGCTCCTGGCTGAAGCCATGATTTTTAGTTTCTGTCTCTAGTGATAAGTGGAAAAGAGGGATGAAGAAGGGGCTTTACTGGTCCAACCAGAGACAGAAACTAAGAACCCCTTCTCCCTCTTGGACACCTCTGCTTCAAGGGATTCTTGTATCCACTGAAGCCCATCCATATACCCCTTGGAGTCTTATCCATCCAAGATGATTCATCACCAAGATTCCTTTTCTTCTACACTTACTATGCAAGCAATTACACCCGGAGCAATCACTTACTTCTCCTGCCATCTCAGCTCCTGGGTTTTCTTTGTTGTACACTTTTTTCTTTCCCTTTCCTTCCACTTTTGGTAGGCATGAGCTATGTAAGCAATAGGCAATGACCACAAAGCCCTTCAGAGGTCCCTCCCATGCAGAGTGCCATAAAAATGGG